CTTTTGTTCTATATCTCTATGTTCCCATGAACCATGACAATAACTATGGTTAAAGATATTTATCTTTCAAGGTTGGATTGAGAATTTACATATTATTAAAATGTAGAATAAAGAACTCTTGTAGCAAAAAGAGAGAGAGGAGAATTTACGTCAGTGAACTCTTGCAATTCTGTGATGCATCATGGAAATGAAAGTAGCTTATGCCTCATGGATGCATGCTTTTTGTAGAATAAGAAATCATGGCTTTGATGCTTCCATTGCAGCAGAAAAGGGTCATACCCTAATGTTTTCCAAGGTCCTTCTCTAATTCCCAGCATGTCCTATTGGTGATTTCAAATATCTAGCTGTGTAGAATGGAAAAGTATAACACTTTCATTATGTCTAGTTATATGCCAGAAGTAAATAAAGTGGAGTAAAATCTTATTGGGTGCTAGTAGTGGTATACTCCAGGGATGAACACTAGCGTACCTTAGGTGTCCCCATGGGACTAGCAGATGCACAAAACCCAGGAGACCTGCATCCCTCTGGGGCTGCAGCAGGATGCTTCACGGCAGCTAGAAATTACAGTAGATGTGATTCTTTTTGCATATGTGTGATTATATTTTGTCAAAATAAAGTTACAAAAGTTCCTGTGAGGTGGCTGTTATGCTTTTAAAACTATGATTTTAAAATAAATTTTAAAATTATTTGTCTATTGAGATAATAGAACCTATAGGAATTATATATTTCCTCACTCATTTTTTTTTGTTCCTATTATGAGTCTTGTGTTAGGAGACTTAACTGGCCTGACAATTTTTTTTGCCAAAATGAATAGCTATTTGTAGGGCAACACAGCCCATCTTCCCTCTTCTACTACACGACAGACAACAATTCAATTATCTCTTTTTTAATTTTTATATGTATGTGTATATTTTTAGCCTTTCCTGTGTTGAAAATGTCTTATCACTTTATCAATAAAAATTTTCTAATTAACAAATATTAAACATAACCAATAATTAAATAGGCCATGGAACTGCATACAGTCCAATAGTGCAAGAGTCAGCAGGGCTTATTGACGTTTTCCGTATGCTAGTTTGTTTTCCACTTCTTAACTTGTTCCATTTTCTACATTTTAGCCAATAATTCTCTGACATAATAACGTTTGCTTTACTGTATTCTAATATAGTTTTATCTTGTTTAATTGACAAACCCTAGTCATGATTTACACACACACACGCATACACATATATATATTTACCACCACCACATAATTCTGCAGATTTGCTCTTTATTATATCAACCTTTGAGTATGTGTTTGTCAAACTTCTCCTCTCCTTAGCTGTCTTTTGTAAATAGATCAAAGCTGGGTTTTTCCTGTCTCAGCCTAAGCAAATATTCACAATGTGACAGTTCAAAATTGAAATCGTACCATCTTGACATGTTATTTGTACCAGTTCTAAGCAGGTGATGAATCAAGTCCTCTGTAATTAAAATATTTAATGCTCTTCTAAGTTTTTTGTGAGATAAAATGTGATGGGGTTGTTTTCTTTCCTTTCAGTAATGCCCCTATTCTTCTCTTTAGTGACAACTGAGGCAAAGCACTGAAGTAGCTTCCAAGTCATTCCTAAAATGTCTTGTGTCTTCATTTAATTATTGCTTCTGAGCACTGTCCCAGAACAGGTTCTGTTCCTACTTAAAAACGTCAGGATACCTTTTGTTTCCCTTCTTTCTTTAGTTCCTTTTATGATGTCTAATTCAGCTTAATTTTCTGCAGTTTGTATTTATGCTTTCATCCCAACAAATGTAGCTCTTATAAATTCAGTTTAGTCCTAATATTTCTTTTCTGTATAGAGATTAAGAATATGAATGTAGATAATGTAAATTTACAGAAAAACAAGTAGAACCCATGTTCTGTAGTAGGCTCCATTTGAAACCTTTTGAAATAGATGGAAACATTTCCACTGATGTTAGTCACTTATCAATGTGAGTTTTTTTCTATAATATGCACACTGTTAAAAATAAAATAAATTTCTTAAGTTTTCCTATCAAAACGAAATGTTTACCCCATACTAAAGGGCAAAACAGCAGTGTCATCACAGTCGTACGAGTTCAATTAAATTACAAAATTCAGGGATGATCAAACTTCCTTCAGAATGTGAAAGTATATTTGATTGTTTTAACTCAAGTTCTTTTTAGAAGTTAGCATCATAAAAAGTATATCAGAAATCCTTCATAGAGGAAATAAAGGAAGCTCAGTGTTTTATGAGGTGAAAATTCTATTATGCTGTCAGAGTGTGTTATTTACTGTGGAGTATAAGTTCAGAAGTTCAATCTTTTTCCTACTTATTTCAAAATAACACTTTCAGAAGAGTTACTTGATAGAAAAGTGAAGTAGAAAACCATGCGGTCTAGGAGACTTTAATAAGGTAGAAATATTATTCCAAGCAAGTCCCAGTAGGGTGGCAGAATATTCATCATAATAATACACACTTTAAAAAGTGTCCTTGGTATTGTGGAGAAAAACCTACAGGAAATAAGATGTGACAACAAAGGGCAAATTTATTATTATTATTATTATTATTATTATTATTATTATTATTATTATTATTATTATTATTGTTATTATTATTATTATTATTATTGAGATATTGAAAAAAGTTCTTAAGCCTTATAAACCTACATAGTATGTAGTAAGAGTATTTATAGGAAAAAATGATAGAGATTAAACAGGATTTTTTTTATAACTGTCTAAAATAAATGCCTGCTTACAGGCAGATTTAGAATACAACTTTAAAAAACAGTGCCTGTTTTCTTAAGTTTTTGCATTTGTGATTTATTAACGATTCTTAAAGTTATAATTTAAGTTTAATTTTCTCATTTTTAAAATAAGACTGATAATTGTTCAGTCTTAATGCTTGTATACTGGATAGAGTTCTACACTCAACTGAAATCTAAAATAATAAATAAATTCAGAATGAAGGAACAGGATCTTGAACCATGTTACCTCATGGTAACAAAGACTTTGAGAAGGACTGGTATGATTGATGTTTGGATTCTTTGAAAAATTCCTTTCTCAAGTTTTTTTTACTCTCATTAGAGATTTAAACAAAAACAACCTGTCACTGAAAGGACAACAGAAAAGTCCAATTAGGAGATACCCCTCTCATTCTCCCTACCCCATACCCCAGCTCAGGTTCTCATGGTGTGCTGTGTGTTCTGTTTGAGAAGCTGTACTGCTGAAGTGAGAGAACATAAGATAAAACCTGTCAACAGAAATTAGCCGGAGGACTTCTGAATTTTGACTTGACTGTGGAAAATTATATTGAAATAAAATGTAGCCAGATCTGTTTAGGAAAAATTTAGGGTCTGAATGGATAGATTCATTTTGAGAGAGAAAGTGGATCCAAACTCCCTCTGCCTTTCAGAGTTCAATCAGAGAGGATGCGGTGCAATCTGCTTTTGATCTAGCCAAGCTTTTGAAAATGTGCTAGACATTATGCCTGAGCAGTAGGTGCACTGAAGTCTCAGCAGGCTTTTCAATTAAGGACCAATTCTCAGATTAGAAAGAATTGAGTTAAATAGATGAATGTTGAACTTTAATGGGAAAACTACTAAAGAAAAATGCATCTTGAAACTGAAAGAAAAGGCATCTTAAGAACATGGACAGATAGCAGGCCACTTTGCTGCAGAAAATTATACTTCAGGCAACTTTCTTCTCCAGCTACTTGTTAGCATCTTCTTTTCAGAGTTAGCTGAGGTAGATAGATAAGCTTTCCTTATTGCCTCTCTCAAACTCTTCCTCAAATAGCTTTCCTCAGGGTGCTCTCTACAGCTAGTTTTAAATAATAAATATGTTTGAGGTTGACAACTTTGTTTTAGTTGATTTAAAAGAAAAGTGTGGAAGTCAAATTCTATCTGAAAACTGCCAGTGGTTCAGCAGTTTCATATGATTTTGTTTGGACAGTGCAACTCCTTACACTTGTAACTTGCACTGAAATAGGGCTCTGGAAGTCACATGGGGGGAACTGTAGGAAACAAATCATCTGTGCTTTGTGTTGCTGGGTATGCTGCATGTTGCCCTTGTGCTTCTGCTCCTGGCTGGAGAGGTCCAGGAGACCACCTGCGAGGCAAGAGGGAAGTACTTCGTTTCATGGATTTGGAAACAATACAAATTGAGCTGGGATCTGGACTAGCTAATTCAAACTGGGAAAGAGTATAACATGTCAGTCTTAGTTACATGACTGTAAAAGAGAGGACTTCTTCAAGGTTCCATGATTAGGGCATCAAGATAGATGAAACCCATTTTTTTACACTTTAATTAGCATGGAAACCAGTTAAAGAAGTAGAATAATTGGCTGCAACTTACTGCAGATCAGCTGTTATCAGGATTTTACCCATACTACAATTGGATCATTAAGCCATTTATTTCTTTGATTAGTGAGATTGGAGTAAGAGACAGCCTGCAGCTATACCTAACCATGCAAAGATAGAACTCTGCTGTTACTTAAAGATAATCACAGAATCATAGAATACCTGAGTTGGAAGGGATGCACGAGGATCATGCAACCCCTGGCTCCACACAGAATCACCCAAAATTCAAACTCTGTTTTCTTGATGAATGTGTGATATTGATACAAATGAGGATGACTTTATATATATTTGATTATATATATAAATATATATAAATTTATATATATTTGAGTATATATAAATATTTTTGTGTGTATGGTTGCCAATGTCAAAGGAGATGAAAAATGTGTGAAGTAATGCTGTTTTCTAGTTCCCCTGCCTCTCTTTCCATGCTCAGTCAGTTGATGACCTAAATTCTGTCTTCCTTGTCCCTTGAGAAAGGAGATCTAAGACAAAAGTGTTCAGACTCCCTACTGAGCTCAGGCAGAAGATGTTACCCTGCTCATTGGCTCAAATTGATGAACTTACAGCACTTTCCATCATAGGTATTTCTGTTCCTAGTTTCACTATGAGAGAATACTACTGACTATCATATTTGCATCTGTCTGCAGGAATCTCGGTGGCCTTTTTTGTTTGCAGTGATCGTTGTTCCTGCGTTGGTACAAATTGTGATTCTGCCTTTTCTTCCTGAAAGTCCTCGTTACCTCCTACTTGAAAAACATAATACCAGTAAGGCAGAAAAAGGTATGTTGTATTACTTGGATTTTTGTAAGAAAGCTTTTTTGGTTTTTTTTGTAGGGATGCAGTCTGGAAAGGAATTTTTATATTAGCAAAAGCAAAATATTCCAAGTGTAAATATGCTCTTGGCAATTATTTTTCCCTTGCCTTTTGCATTTCTTTTTGTATGTCACTAAAAATCACTGTTGCTTTGGTTTTTTTTCTTGTATATGAATTTCTCCAGCAAGCTAACTTATATAATGTTATGCTTGGTGATAGAAACTCAAATCATCCTCCTGCTATGTGTCAGACACTACATGCAATGTTCACTGGGGAGTGAAAGATGATTTCAGTGTTTATAACTGTCCTTTATGTATAGTCTTTGCCATTTTCTTAATGAAAGCACTTTTTTTTTTTTTCTTTTGCTCCACAGTCACTTTGTTTACTGCATGTTCTGTGACTCAACAACCTCTGTTAGTTCGATAAAAATAGCAAACACCTATTTATCTGAAAATGTTCAGTGCTCCCGTATTGCTTGCTTCAGTTTCACAGACACAGACCAGAATATTTTGCTCTTAACTTACATTCTATGTATAAACTTTTTTTGATGTTATTACAGATATTACTCTGCCCTTTGAAATAACTATGGCCAGTTAAAGTTTCCAGTAGACCATCACACTAAGTCTATTTTTACTTATTGTAGTGATGATTTAAAAAGAGGATCATACATAGAAGAGAAGAGCCTGCTTGTAATATATTTGGTCTCCATAAATGTTCAGCAAGTGTCAGTGAATGTCAGTGGGAGCCATTTGTTCCTCAGGGAGGAATTCAGTGACACACCTTTGCTTCATATGCATTTCCATGTCAGACACCCTTTTGTCAGACTGCTTCTCTGCTGCTATCTGTTGTATGGCAACAAAACTTAATGGAATATTGGCAGGAAGATTCAACTTCTACTCCCAGCATCTACCTCTGACATTGTGACCCAAATAATAAAACAGGAGGCATTACTTTCAGAGCAACCCTCTTAGGATCAGATAGTTTGCTTGCTTGTTTGTTGTTTTGTTTTGTTTTGTTTTTTTTAATTGTAGAAGAAACTTGGCTTCGAGAAGAATTCTGAACTTTGCAGAGATTTAAGGGGGCAGAAAACAGCTTTTCCAGAAAATACAAAGGAAATGGCTTGCCTGCGGATTGTGGTCAGACCATCCATCAGGGAAACCATGGCAAGCAGCTTAGGGCAGGCAGTTGAGTAGCTCAGTTCTGTAGCACTATGCCTGGGCTTGGAGAAAATGTCTTTTGGTGCCAAACTTAAACCATCTCTGTTCAACCTGATAAAATTGTAAATGTATTTCCAGAGTTATGCATGGCAAAGAGCCTGCATCTGCAATCATGTTGCATAATGTTAGACTTGCTTTACAGATCTATTCACAGTACTTCCACAGTGCTTGGAAACCTCACTAGTGGCAGTAGAGCTGGGTCTCTTGCATGTAGAGCTTAGAAACTGTCAGAATCTCTCATGAAAATAACCCCACCTGCTTGGAAATTCACACCACTTACTGTTGGTAACAGGCCAATCGCAGTCCAGGATGTTTTCAGCACACGTGCTCTAAAAATGTTTGAAAATGAATCTAGAAGCATCGGAGGTGGATTTTGAAGTAGAAGACATCAGAATAGCAAAGTTACCCACACTTTATTTCCAGTGATATGGTAACTGAGATGAAAGGGTCTTCAGCCAGTAGCTTAATGAGGTTTCCGCAGATGAGAAGGTGGATTTCATGAGCCACTGTAGCAAGTATAGCAGTAAAATTAGGCACCAAAAAGCAAAGGAGTCTGATATCACTAGATTTTTAAAGTTGATGGATATGAATAGAAGCTGTTGGATCTGATTAATTCCAAAATCAAGATTTAACCCTGATATGCAATGTAGTATATGTAGAAACTTTTTGAATGTATTCTGCAGAGATTTCAATACAGCTGGTAACTCATGAATCTACATAAATATGTGTTATGAGCCTAGGACAGTAATGTCAATATATTCCAATCAATTTCCTTCCCTTTCTTTACTTACTAACAAGTAATTCGTCCAAGACCATTTGCTTCCCAGGCAAGGCAGCCTGTTGGGATATCAGATGCAAAATAGGTACGGATGGTTGTTAGATAGGATTTAGCTGTTCACAATCCATAAAATCCCCCCGTAAATCAGTATAGATCATATCATCTTATATTTCTCTGTTGTAAAGTATCTACATGGCTTATTCTAAAGCACATAAGGGAAATAAGCAGTTTTCTTACCATTGCACATCCTTTATAATCTCCCTTCTCCTAACATAGATTTGCAAATGAGAGTATCTTTGTATGCTGAGTCACCATCCCTGGAGGTGCTTAAAAATCTTTTGGTTGTGGTGCTCAGGGACCTGATTTAGCAGAGGATTGTTAGAGTTAGGGTAGTATGGTTAGGTTGCAGTTGGACTTGATGATCTCGAAGGTCTTTTCCAACCTGATCAATTCTTTGATTCTATGTGTGTTTCGTATACAGATAGGTGGGGAAGATGCCTGTGTGATTCATGGAATGCCTGGGTGAAAAATGACCAGAGAGACCTGCACTTTCAGTCTGATGGGTGGGATTTGGAGACTTCCTTCCCACCAGGGCACACAGAGAAATCTAGATGAGACAAGAGCTGAGCCTCTGTAATGCAGTAAAATAATGAAAACTAGTGGGAGGGATTCACAAAATAGGAATGCGAATAACTGAATCAACAATCAAGGAAAATGGTCTGCATTTTAGTTTTATCTGTAGAAATGCGTAAGGAAAAGCCTGTGTATTAGGGAGACTAGAGAATTATGAAAAAGCTACTGATCATAAGCCATTAATGACAATGCAGTATTCTCCATTATAATGATGACTACAGTAATGCTCTTGAATTATTTGTCTTAGGTTGGATCTGCATATTAATATGAGAAATGTGCGAGTCTGTTTTGTGACTAAATCCTTTCCTCTTTCCCCTAATGGAACAAGGCTACTCGTGCAAATTTCATACATTTTATTGTGGATTATGCCTTTTTGGAGAAATATAAAACCATTATTTGCAAAATGTCCACTGTATTTAAGGCAAATGACTACATTATTCTTTTTATAACATATTCTATGTAAAAGTTTCTAAAATGGAAATGGCAATATTAATCTTCCTAATTATTTTAGAGCAATAAAAATCCAATGGGATAATGTAGGTCACTGAGTTTCCACAGAGTTCTGTGCCTGCTTTAATCTCTCCATTTTTTTTCTGCCCTCAGGAGATAACCACATTATCACTACCAAATTACAAGTGGCCTCATTCTCTTTTTTGCCAGCAACGTAAAAGAGCATGATAGCTTTAAGTGGCAAATAAGAGACACAAGGAGGAAAAAAGGAACAAAGTGATGAAAAAGAGAAAAGACAAGGCAAGAGTAGGCAGGTGTCATGTCTGAGCGTAAAACACACCACTATGAGACAAACTATTTCATGAGCACAGGAGTGAGGAGGGTCCAGATAACTTTTGTCCTTATGGATACTATGCTAAAAGCCGTGCTAGGAGCTGAGCACTGCTGGTCTTCCTGGTGTCAATCTGGCTCCCTGAGATCACCATTAGTTGAACCCAAATCCTGTATTTCTATTTCACTGCTGAATGCTGGAGAACTATCTGGGGGCAGAATGATTGACTGGACTCACAGCACAATCTATAATCCTGCTTCACTCAGTAAGTTAGAAGTCTGATAACGGAGAGAGGGAAGAACCATCCCAAGTCCCCTCTCCTTGGAGTGAAAGAAAGAAGAAAAATGCCTGACATTTATTTTGTATCATCTTAATGCTCACCAGATGATGGAGGAGAAATAAATGTTCAAGTGGTTGAAAGACCCTGGAAGGAGATCACCATTAAATTGGTAGGAAGCCGTGGAAGCAAAGGATAACAGGGTAGGAACAGGAAGAAAAAGAAATCAGTGGCTGTAATTATATCCAATTTATTCTCTTAATTTAAGACTCAAACTCTATGATGGTGAAACAGGAATTTGGTATTTGTTGGATATTTGTTGCATGCCAAATGAATCCTGAGCCTGTGACTGTGGCTAGTGGATACGTAGCAATGCAAACAAGACCAGGAGTAGTATTGTGATAAAACAGAATGATTTTGTGACTTACAGCATTGTTTACTTATATTTGAGGAGCTGATACATTTCTTCTGAAGAATGCTGTTTCAAAGAGAAAATCTGTATTTTCAATGCAGCTACAGTAACATGTCATGTAAACCAATAATGGAAATCATTTGGCACTCTAGCTTCCCAGAGAACCATAACATTATTATGTCTTAAGGGTCAAATAACTTGGATATAATGTCACAGTAACATCTGCTGGTGACGTACAAAATCTGTTCATTTGCTGTGTTCAGTCACACATTTAAATTCCCATGGTTATTGAAGAAGCATTGCACCTGGTGTAAAAAATAATGTAGTTTTAGAACTCTTAAAAGGATGTCGTTTGAGTTGATACCTCTTGATGTGATAAAAGAGCAGGGCCATATCTGATTTTAAAAAGCAAGTCATTATTTTTATTACAAAGACCCTCATGGAGTCTACACGTACAGGAGACATTAAAATCAGAGTTACTGCAGGAAACAAAAAAATGCTGCAAATCTAGTGATTTAGATGAAGTTGTTATTAGTGTCAGGAAGGTCACCTATCATTTATTTCTGTTTGTGTGTGCTTTTTGCATATGTCTCTAAGCATTATAAGCTATACTTGCTCTACCACAATGGAGCTGGCTGCCAAAACATGGAATTACTACAGTGTGTCTGCCTTGTTTGCAAGCTTTTCCTAAACCTCATGTCTTTTAGAAAATTTACTTGGTTTAATGGACCTTTGGTGCAGTTCAGTTTATCAATTATTGTGCTGTTTGAAGGTGGTATGTTGTTATTTTGTTTTCTCTGAACATCTTGGCTAGTTTCAGGTGAATCTGCATAGGCAGCTGATGGTCTATAAAATCAGGTGTGAGAACAGGTATAGACATAATGCCAGACTAGATGCTAGCTCACAGATCTGTGAGCGAGTCGTTTGCTTGCAGCTGTATTTACTGAGCTGGAATATCAACTTTGGAGTTTAGTATTAAATGTCGTTATGCTACATGGTTGTAGTTAATTAATATTTTACTACATTTAAATAGCTGATTAAATCTCTCTTAGCAAAATACTTCCAGTAGTCAGTACTATGTCATTCAGTTCTCTGGTAAAATCAGTGGTATGAGGAAACAGGTTTTTTCATTTTATCAAATATTTTTATAATGTAAAGTTACTGTGAGGAAATTACTGCACATCTGATTCAGAAACACTGAAGTCAGGTGGTTTTTCTGCAAGCACTGAGGCAGCGACGCTCCCTGTATGTCCTCCAGTACCCAGAATAGAAGCCAGTGTTAATGGAAGATGCTTCACTGGGTCCATCCGGACCAGTACTGTCTTTGACAGTAGCTAAAGAAGATGCTGTTTGAGAAGAGTTTAGACAAAGCTTAGTGTTAAGGACCCCAGTTTTAGGGTACTTCATTATCAGTGAAATGAAAATGAACATATCACTGGGTAACACAGGGCACTATCATTCAAACACCTTTGTATTGCTTCATTTTTCAAGTTTTCAAAGGTGTGAGAGATATTACCCCAGCTACTAGCAGTTACCACACCTGTTTTTGTTTCATCATACAAGGGGCTGGCTCTGTTCTGTAAGCCACAAAATAGCATTTTGGTCTTTTGAAGTGTCTTCTGTATAGTAATTCTGTATAGTATTCTGTATAGTAATTTGGTTTCCTTTGCACAGTCTTGGAAGTACTACAGTGGAAAAAGGATTAGGAATTCCATGTATAGCTGAGTCCCCCTTATGCAGCTTCAGTTAAGAACAGCCTGGTCAGTTTTAAAGAAGAGACATATTGATTTTATTCAGACCCTTGAACCACTTGCAAATGTTTCATCTTCACATAGCTGAGATAAATGGAAACTAGTAGTGTAAACGGTAAGGGTTCCTATTTCCTTTTCTCTTGCCTGGAAACATTCACTTCTTTTACTGTTTATAAAGGCAATGTATCTTAGTCTGCTGAATATCAAGATCTTTTGGTCTAAGAAAATTAAAAAGAAATCTGGAGAAGTTCTAAAGATTGCTAGAACTGTAACAAGCAGGGTACATACATGAAAGCAAGGTATCCCTATGGAGGGAAGCAGAAAATGTGCCATTGCAGTGGGAGGTAGGAATGACTGCTGTGATTCTCAGTGCCAGTAATGCAGGGGTATAAAATGCAAAATGAATAGAATTGAAAATAACAAATTAAAAGACCTTTAATTTTTCCCGATTAGTGCAGAGTTTATTTTCACATTAATTATGTAAAAAATTGTGATTCTTACTGTACTGAAAAAGTGCTAATGAAAGAACTTTAAAGATGTATTGAGTAGCTGGAAAAATTTTTACTGCTGTTTACTGAAAACTATGCGTGAATAGCATAGCATTTTCCTAACTTTTCTTGACTTGTTAATTTTATGCATCTGTCAAAGTTTCCCATTGACTTTTACATCTCTGCTCCTAACACCAGGGAGGGAAGAAAAAGAAAGCAGGTGTCTATATTTTTTCCTGCCTTGTCCTTGGTAATTTTTGGTAATTGCTGTTTTGTCTTTTTTTTTTTTTAACTTCCTGGTCCCTCTCAAAGTGCAGCAAGCTCCCTTGTGCAGAACAGACAGATTGCTTCCATTTTACTTGACTGCACCTATATTTTTTTACTTGTGTGCCCTACAGGAATGCAGGGAATTCAAAGGACAGAAAAAAATCAAGAAGATTGTGCAATGACCTAATTTAGACCAATAAACTAGACGCTTAAAAATCTATGAGAATCATTTCGAGGAAGAATATTGTAATACATGCCTGGTTATTCTCACAGTTATCTGAATTTTAATTTGTCAGTGCTCTAGCAGTACTGACAAAAGTGTAATTTAACCATAAGACATTGATCGTAACATGCTACAGATTGTTCCAATACTACACATCTTTCCAATTTTACATTTCCTGTCATAGCCTTTAAATACGTCACACTCATTCTAACTAGTGCTTTGCAAGTCATTTAATAATTAGTGGGTAGTGGCACAACAAAAAAAACAGAAGCTTAAATTCTTGATTCTAAGCTCTGAATTTGTTACTTCATTTCTGATTTATAAGAACTACGTGAAAGGACAGTGCACAAGCAGTCCTAGAGAATTTAAAAATTCTGATCTCTCCCTAAATAGAAACTGAATATCAGAATAAATGAATGTTATGAATCAAATCAGCACACAGAGGTGGTAAGCATTCATCCTTTGAAAAATGATGCCTTCTGTTAACTAGAGTCTGCCTGGCAGAGTATGCAGCACCGCACACTCACCAAAGTGATGGAGAAAACCACGCTGGTTTAGGCCAGCTTGTACATGTGGTCATTCCCTCACAGCATCAAATGGCCACTACTTGGCCTTTTTATCTACTGAGTGAAGAGAAAATTTTATAACTTCAAAACCTAAATGGAGTCTTGACTAGTCAATGTTTTTGGCTTTCTTGACCATCCAAGTCCTTTTTGTGATCCAAAAGAATAGGCAGAAAATGTGAAGGTTACTGATTTATATGCAGTGCTGTGCAAAGCAGTGGATAAAACAAAAATGAATTGGGCTCTTAGGATAAGTAAATCAACTTAATCATTTAAGAAAAATAACTCATTATTTCCTTTAACAGGAGCAACATTAAGTGACCTGCTGTGTAAAGGATTGTTTTTAGAGTAAGCATCCTACTGGGTCACAAAGCCTTGTTACAGGAATATGTTTAATGTAATTGTTTCTCTGCAGTCATTCCAAGATGATGAACATTTTAAATATCTCTTAAAAAGCCAACCCCTGGGTTATGTTCATTAAATTGTGATGAAATAATCATTAATTTATACCATATCTGTATTACGAGGTTGGTGGAGATGCACCACCTGCACCAGGAGGTATTCACTTGTAGTACCTTTTGGAGGAGATGTGAGAGGAAAAGCTTTTATCATTCAAACTAGAAGGGTATCTCAGGTAGTCAACAACATGCAATAATATAATACAAAGTTGGTTTTTTTGCAGGAAAACATACGTTTGGTTGCTTATATTTACCATGTAAATGTAAGTTGTCAACAGATAGAAAGTTTTGAACCTCTTTGGATAATCCTTTCTAGTAATAAACACATTGAAGAAGTTAATTCTTATTTATATGCTATTGAAAATTATATACTATGAAGACAAATAGGTATTCCTTTCAAATGTTTGCCTTTCTTGTTTCATCAGGCTCATCCACATTTTTATATATTATAACTTCTCTATCCAATCAATCCACAACAATAAAATCTGCTATACAATTTGGTCACAAAAGTAGCTAATTTAAATAATGTTAAGAACTGCTTTTATATTAAACTCTTCTTTCTCAGTTTATGCAGGGTTTTGACTCTGACTTTATGCTGTATTATATATGAAATAGTATGGGGAGAGGTTTGATATGGTGCTAAATTATTTATATTCTTGCTGCGGTTTCAGAAATAAATTGCAAGGATTATACCCAGAATAGAATCATATTTTTGGCAGAAGAATAACTATGTAGGAGCCCATTATTGTCTTTGGCTTGTCTCATGTATCATGCAACAAGTCTGTTACAAATGATTAGTGTCTAGCTTAAGGTTTGTTCTCTGTTTGTAGCATTTCAGACCTTCCTTGGGAAAGATGACGTGTCTCAAGAAGTCGAAGAAGTTCTGGCAGAGAGTCGAGTCCAAAGGAACACCAAATTAGTGTCAGTGCTTCAGCTCCTTAGAACTCGTGCTGTACGGTGGCAAGTCATCACTGTGATAGTCACCATGGGATGCTACCAGCTTTGTGGGCTAAATGCAGTAAGTGTCCTTCAGACCGTTGCATCTTATTGCATATTGTTGCTGCTGAAATAAACTGCAAATGTGACTCCTCACTGTGATTGTGCATTAAGGGATAATTCAGCTAGGATTGTTTTGTTTTTCTTTTTTTTCCCCCCACAGAGTTAATCAATGATGATAAGTGTAAATGCCCTTGATTACTAAGGTAGTAGTAGTTACTAGTTACTATTACTAGTTCAGACTTGTCTCAGGTATCTGTATAGCCTTACAAACCTTAATAGGAAGTATTTTTTTTCCAAGATCATTAGAAAGATTGGAACTCTAGTATCAAAATATTTTTTTAAAATTTTTTTAAAAAGTGCTATGAGAGAGCCAGATTTTTCACACTTTAAGGTGAACTATGAAAACATTTGTATAGGTAAGGTATGTTTGTTTTGTTTGGTTTCCCTAATTATGAGATTTCAGTGCTAATAAGCCATTTTGTTCCTCATCGTGGATATTTTTTTGAGAAGAGAACTGAAATTAACTTCTGGAGAAGAGGAGGCTCAGGGAAGACCTTTCGTTCTCTACAACTGCCTGAAAGGAAGTTGTAGTAATGTGGTAGTTGGCCTCCTCTTTCAGGTAGCAGTGGTAGGATGAAAGGGAATGGCCTCAAGTTGCACCAGGTAATTTCAGGTTGGATATTAGGAAAAATTTCTTCTCAGAAAGAGTGGTGAAGTGTTGGAATTTGCTGCCTGGGGAGAAGGTGGAGTCACTGTACCTGAGGGTGTCCAAGAAACATATAGATGTGGAACTGAGAGACATGGTTTAGTGGGCATAGTGTGGGTGGCTGGTCATTGGACTCAATGATCTTAGTGCTCTTTTCCAGCATTAATTATTCTGTGATTTTAATCCAGACTCTCTAACGTTATTGATCACATAAGCGAAATAAAATGACACAGCTAAATTTCCAGGGGAAGAAGGTTTGGGGCATTGATGGATATTAAATAAGTGACAGAAATTGTCTAGTATTCCATGGCAGAGCAGAATCACGTTCTCATATCTTGTGCCTGTGTGTCAGGAGTCCAGACCAAAAGGAAAGCTGGAGATGTTTTAAAGTATAATTTAGTGCCTCAGAAAAACTGTTTTTGTTTTGACCTGTGTGTTGAGTTAGCTATTTCAAGCCTTATCTTTGTTTTCTTTCTACTTTATTTCTCCAACCATGTTACACATGATAACATTATTCACATTAAATTTACATTCTGAAATTGATTAACTGGTTCATCCAGAAACAAAAAACGAACAGCACAAAAGTGAATGATGAAAGCCATTAAGGGAAGTATTGGAACACTTGAATACAAGCTCAGCTTCCTTGTCTCTTCTGCTTGGCTTTCCTGACTGACCTTGACAAGTCACCCAAAGCTCAGAAAATAAAGGAGAGGTACAGATGTGTCAACCTGGTTCTTGGTTTATCTAGATGTGTCCAAAATCACTTACTGGGTGTGAGTCACTGTCAGCAAGTTTTCACTAACTGCAAAAGCATCTCTTAAGTCATAGCTCTCACCCTTCACTTTGTCTGTAGTGCCCCGTTAGTCAGTCTGATCTTTTCAATAATCACCATCTGGACAGGGCATATGGGAAAGCTGGACCTCTTTCAGGCAAGTCTCTCAGGTCCCTCTCAGGGGAAATTACCAAATGGCAGACTTCTGTAGTAGTCCTGCTGGTATTTGTGTACATTTATTCAATTTTAAGGCTTCATTAAAACCAACTTGTTCAAAAACAGTACAATCGCCAGCTTCCATGTAGAATAGAAATCATGGTGAAGCCCTGGTCATATTAATCTATTTGATTATAACAGAATACCAGACAACCTGACCTCAATTGACAACAGTAAATGAATCCATATTAGTGTCTTTTCACCTGATAAAACGTAACTCTGATGCATAGCATTCATAACATTTATATTCCACCATTATATCTTGGTTCTAAAGCAGAATAAAACCACAGAGAAGTTGTAATTAATTGACTGCAGATTTTCACATTGCAGTGAAGTACAAAATGAAATCTCACACCTTCTGTCCAGAAAGCAACATTTTATGTCATGTCTCTCAGTGTCTTCTTTCTGGTCTTTCCTCTGTTATTAAGTATCTCTGAAGTGTTCTCTAACACCATGTAAATTTGCTTTTTTAAGTGGTGTGACTCTGTATTCTTGTATCCTATTGTTCAAAGTGAGTTTCTTTGATTTATTCCTAAAGTGAATTAAAGCAAATTGAGTTAGAGCTCCTTGAAATTTTGTCTGAGTCCAAGCAGAAGTGTAATGGTGCTGTGATTAATCCACTGAAATTCATACCTGCTCTTCACTTGCCATCTTGCCCAGCTCTCAATACCCCAGGAGCACTCAGTATTTCAATATCTGGTGTCTGGCAGGTGAGATACTTGAACTGAATGACAAAGGCTTGTATTCCAAACCACAGTGATTAATAACTCATTCTCTTCTCTCCCATATAGATCTGGTACTACACAAACAACATCTTTAGTGAAGCTGGAATCAACAGAGAAACAATCCCATATGTTACTTTAAGCACTGGTGCTGTAGAGACCCTTGCTGCTGTTTCTTCTGTAAGTAAGGTTAAAGAATTCATTAACATGCTTACTATTTAAGTTACCAATTTTATTTCCTCATGTAGGTTAAAACATGGCCAGAATAGTATGTTGAAGATTAAGTGTAGTAATTAATAAAAACAATTGAGAATGCTATTTCTGGATTTAATTCTAAATCCAATTGTCCTCTGTATGAGTGAAGAGGAGGAAGGTCGGAGTGCAAGGCCTAAAGCACCATAAGTGAAACTCATTACTCAACCAGAGTGGCTGCTGTAGTACTTTATCTCAGAGCCCTCCCATGTTCCTGCCGGAAAGGAGGCAGTGTTGTTAGTGAAGTCTTGTTCAAAATACAGGAGGATGCATCCAGTGTGGACTGATGAAACAGAAGTATGTCTTCCTGGGCATGTTTTAATGACACTTCCTATGGTAATTTATGAACTATGAGGGGAATTCTTCAGCCATTTAAAATAAAGGAGTAAATGTTTGTCACCCAGATCATTGGGAAGAACAAAATTATTCCTGGAGTTAAATTCTGCTATCTCACTTACTGGGAAGAAGCACCATACTTTCATAATACATGAGCTCATCAATAGGTAATGTAATTCTACTGTGTGCTGAACATAAAAGAAGGTGTTAATAGCTAAAATTACCCACAAATATTTCCTTTTTTTTCTTTCCTGTTTCAAAATGGGAAAGATGGTTAGGAAAACAGATTAAATGAGCAAATTAACACTGAAAATTTCAGTAGGTGACTACACCACTGGTTGCTGAAGGAAATTCATTTCTGTTTACACTGCAATAAATAAGAAAAAAATAGACAGGTCTTTGGAATGGAAAGTTGCAAAGGAGCAAATACTCTTTCCTTTCCTTGTTAGATTTCTTTTTATCTTCATATATCTTACACCAAGTGTATTTGCAAAATATTGGACACAGCAGACAAGCATTTTAAATGTCAGAAGGATGACATTGGCAAAAATCCTTTCCAGTGGCACAGCAATTGCTTATGACCTACAAAATATTAAATTAAATATATCTATCAAGTTTATTTTCTGGTAGTCACAAGGACCTTTTTATTCTGATTTTTGTGAATTTCCACATTTTTTCATAAACCATCACTTATTTATGTGTGTGTTTGTTTGTTTAAGGGACATACTTTTTAATATGGGGAGATAGTATGATATGGAAATCCCTATCTCTCACAAGTTCATGATACTCTGCTTTAAGATACATGAAAAAATTATTATTATTATTAATGGCAGCCGTTTGAGAGAAGAATACATCTATTCTGTGGAAAGAGATGACAATTGAATGGAATGATTTCACAATATTAAGACTGTTCTATTAATGGGGCCTATCATCTTCAGTTCTTCCTTGCTATCCATTTGTGGGGCTCATGCAGAGCACAGAGCATGGCTCAATAATGTTTGAACTAAAGAAGATCTTAAAATATAGGACTTGTGGCCTGAAATTTATAAGATGAAATTCAGTGATGAAAGGTTCCCAGTGCTGCACTTTAGAAACGAAAAGCTTCATATGCACAAATATAAAGTGTCATGTGGAACTCTGTCAAAAGGCTTACTGAAGTCACAATCCATCATGTTTTTCATTTTCTTTCTATCTGCTTAGCTTTCTCCCCGACAGCAAAAGGAGCCGTACTGATCTGCACTGAACAAATCTGTTTTGACTGCTCTTATCACCTTACTATCTTCTAGCTGCTGTCAGACTGATTGGTTAATAATTTATCCCGGTGTCTGGGGAAGACAAGGGATTCTGTTTTCCTTCTCCATGTGCAATAAAAGATAGGTGCTCTCTCTGCCTAGATCCAGTGCTCTCAGAAATTATCATTGACTCACAAGATTTTGGGGATTTTCATGATTATGAAAGCCTCATTTTTATTAATAAATTTAGAGGTAGAAAAAGGTAGTCTCTAATCAGTATGCTACTGCGTGCAGATTTGAGGGGAAAAAGTGACCTGGCAATGAAAATATTTATGCAGCTCATCATCTGTAATTGTAGAAAGCCATAAATAGTTGCCTACGTGAGCAAACTGTTGGCTTCTAAAATTGCCTACCATGCTAATTTGTTTTGTCTGTATAAAATTTCAATTGTGTGAATTTGTAAATCATTTACAGATGCTTTGCTCAGTCCCAAGAAACCATTACTAAGCATTCTAAGAAGTGAAATAAAAAAAAAAAAATACCTAGTGATTCATTTAGAATATAAAACGCTGAATTATTTTAGATGCAACGAGTCACTAATTACTTGTTACAAATTTCATCTTCATTTCACAGTTTCAAATGTAAATGTGTGGAATCTTTATAGAGCAAATCTGTGAGCTGAGACGTGCTTAGATTTATATATTTGAGAAAAGTAATGAGAAAGAACAAGCAGTAGAAAAGAGATATTGACTAAGAAACTTCCCAGATGTGCTGGAGTGCATGTGGGCATATTTTCACTGCAAGGTGAATTGCAAATTATGATCCTGTTAAGGCATGCTGCCTTAATCCACAAATGGTCAATGTGATCATTTTTAGGCAAGAACATTATTCCTTCTAAATAGTTTTATTACAGTAGAGCTTTAGGACAGACAAAATTACATGCAAGGAATTAATGATGTAATGCCTTCCAGGAAAAAAATATCTTATGAAACACCACTCTGTAGATTTGAGCGACAGTCTGTTAGAGACTGCATTTCTTTAGTACAAATCTTTCTGCAGGATATATTCAGAAAATGAAAGTTCTGTAGACACAACTCCATGCTTTCAAGCTTTAAAAATGTTTTTTGAGTTATTTGCTTTCCTTTTTTTTTTTTTTTTTTTTTTTTTTTTTTTTTTTTTTTTTTTTTTTTCCAGTCTGTTCTATCTTCAGGGTATTCAAAAGCTAACATTAGAAAATAAAACACCAGCTATGATAGTCTATCATAGATCAAGGTCAATATCTAATCTATCTTTTATAATTGTGTGCCTGACACAAGACAGACATGGTATTTTTAATAAATAAATCATCGATAGTAAGAACTTTGCACCAAAAATACCACAGCTTATTGAAATCACAGAACAGGAATTAGTGGGTTTTTGTGTGCTGCCCTGAAAGCTGATCCAGTCACTACCAAGATGGAACAAACCTGTGTGTGGGCTGCATCTTGGTCAGGCTAGCCCAGCAGACATTCAATATGGAAACCATATTCTTTGAGTGGAAAATTTCTCTGTCAGGTGAGATTGTTTATGGATAGTTTACTGCAAAATAGAAACTTAGAAATCAGTTTCTTTGTTGATAGTGATCCCTACACTGGTAGCTACCAAGAAGCAGGCTTGGCATTCAAACAGGTTCTTCAGGGCAGTAGTAAAGGGTTGGAGTTGAAGAAGTGTTTGGGAAGTGTTTGGACTTGCCCTCAGAAATATGGTTTGAATTTTGAGTGGTCCCGTGAGAGCCAAGAATTGGATTCGATGATCCTTGTGGGTCGTTTCCAACTTGGGATATTCTGTGATTCTGTGATCTTGTCCAGCCATGGCATTAACACGGATTCAGGCGAACTGATGTGCCTGGGAAGGCATTTAAGGCTTGTGCTTATGTGATCAAATATGGTGCTGTACCTTTAAAGTCCAGTTTAGGTACTGTTTCTTTGTTTTGCAATTGTATAATTCATACCAGAGGCAAAAGGATATAAAAATAGAAATCAAAAACCCATTTGTAACTCACAGTGTTCTGTTACTCTTCTTTTCTTGAATGAGTGATACTACACGTTATGTCATAAATAGACATGTCAGTGGTATAAATATGATTATTCACTTCAGCCCAGCTATTTAAAATGGAAATAACATGGAGTTGGCATGTCACATTATATCTGAGTCTAGACATAAAGTTTTTCTCATATTTACTTGCAAAATACATGGAAAAGAAAGTATGGTTACTCTCAATGTTAACATAGAAATCAGACTTCCGTATAGAGCTGAGAAATGAAACAAATCTAATAGGGTTATTAGTATGATTTGGAGCCAGGAAGTGAGTAGGGAATAGTATTCATTGCCCCCCCATTTGGGCTGCAGAACTTGCTTACATATTCATCTTTCTCCCTGTCTTGTCTGATCTTTTATAATGTGATCTGCTTCCAACATGTCAGCCCCCCAGTATCAGCAGCTGACTCAAGTGAAAAGATCGACATTTGCTTTTTAAACTTTATTCACACGTGTTTCCTGTCAGACAAAAGAAAGTATCAGTTGCCTTATTATCAACAAACATTTTGGTTGGAAGGATTTTGGTTGCAATTTTTTTTTTTTAAACACATTTTCAGTAATTTAAGCTATGTTAATCACAATGACTCAGGGCACAGGTTTCTACAAATGTGTGTTTATGATCACACTTGCATATGTATCAACCTACTCAATTTGGCAAACAACTCAGTGTATTATCACTTGTAAAATTCACTTATGACTTTACTACAGCATATGCTGAATTCGTTATTATTTCATTTACTCTGCCAAGTAGTATATTTTTGTTACAAGTCTTCAATAGGTAAGAATTGCCAGTGGAGCATGCAGACTTATAAATACTTGAAAACTAGTGAATCATTTTTAACTTCCTATGAGTCATGGGCCTCTTGGTGGGTTTTGCAAGTTAACAAGTTTTGGAGTTGTATAGTCATAACCAAAAATGAAATTATTGTCAGTTTACAGTCCTATTTATGGCATGTTTTATTTTTTTTGGTTGTTTCTTTTTTTAACCAAGGAAACCAGATTTCATCTGAGTTTTTTTTTTTCCATCAAGAAAATGAGAACAAACAGCAGAGAAGTTTGAAATATTGATGCTTTATCATAACGTTTTTTAAGAAATTCTAAAAATTAATTTATTAATTAAAATTTAGTGAAAAATGCTTGACGGAATGGCTGTTGAAGCATCTGTGTACTTAGTCAAACAATATTTTAAGCCCCAATAAAAAATAGGGTCTTCTGAGAGGATTTTGTGATGCAGACTGGTTTTTCATGTTTGAACAACTGTGACCTGTTAATATTTCATGGGGTGGTTCTGCACATGACTGCCTCTTTCCCCACAAAGACATTGCTTTCCAAGCATATATGCTGCCTGTTGCCACTATACCAAAAACTACCACTGTAATTTTTGACCAGATAGGGAGCGTGCATTAAATTGTTGCTCTTGCCTTTCACGAGCTTGACTCAGTCTAGTATCCCATTTCAGTTGTACTTCTATGCCTCATTTGAATCTGTTCCACAAGTAGTTGTGAGTGTTTTGGGTTGTGCGTATTTTGTTGGGTTAGAACTACTGATTCAAAAAGTATGACATGCATTTAAGTGAAGTAGAAGAGTCCTTATCTTTAAACTGGAAATAGAGTGCTTCTACCCATAATTGTTCAGGTTGATCACGTCTAAAGGAGAAGCCTTCTGAGTCAGTATACACCAGGTTTTGTAATGCTGTCAGTGTGATTTACTTAGTATCACCTTTGGAAATGAGTTAACAATTCCCAGCAAGCTGGGTACATCGTAGTATCCCAGTGAGTAAGTGCAAAAATAGCTTTTTACTTTCTCTAGAAGATGAAGTTGGTCCGTTCCATAAATCACAAGATATACCACCAGGAATTGTAATGATAAATTCTTTGAGGCAAAATCCGTAGGAAGTGTCCAGAAGCTGAAACATTCAAGTTCCTAAGAGCCATTGTATTAAATAAATGACATTGAATCTGCAGCATGATGAATGCTTGGGAAGCTTGGCTTCAGCTCAAGGAAAATTACCTCTGAATGAAAAAAAAAAAAAAAAAAAAAAAAAAAAAAAAAAAAAAAAAAAAAAAAAAAAAAAAAAAAAAAAAAAGAATTAGAATACATTAGGAAGTATTGTTATCTTCTGCAGATAGCACATAGGGCCTGCTGTAACTTTGTCTGTGCTTGGCTGCTCACAGTTAAAACTGGGGTTCCTCAGACCCACCTAGATTTGCCTAAATGTGCCCAAAATACTTACTTCAACATATGCAGGCATGAGTATATGTACAAAACTCTTTGGAGTCTTCTGTCGCTGGGATTTGCTTTTCTTTGAGCTTGACAACCAGAAACTGTCTAGCACTTTTTGCGTTTTGCTTTGTACATGAATCCTCTGTGAACCATTTTTCCTCTGAGAGAAATGTTCAGCACTCACTCCTTTTTAATACAAAACTCCACCAGCTGGTGTAACACCAAGATTGTTTAATAGCAAACACCAATTTATAATTGAAAAAGGGAATGTCATTTTTATGCCACATTATCTGTGCATCATCCGCTGCTGCACACACTGCAGAAGTCTCCATCTTCTGATGAACTCATCAGACCATTTCACATCCTTCATTTTTATACGTGGCCACGTATTTTCAGCATGGATTCATTAATCACAGTTGAAAATACTTGGCATCTTGTAGGGTCTTGGCAGTGCAGAAGTTGCAGTTTCAGAACATTTGGGCTCTGTGAGTGCAGTGTAAAATCTTAATAACATCAGAGGGAGTCTATTTTAAACATTGCTCTGAAATAAATTCTATTATGGAATCTGTGGAAACTGTCAAAATGAGTATATTCCCTCATTTAAGGAAATAATGCTACAGCTGACTGCTCACTGCGTTCTGCAGCATCACAATGCTCTGCGGTGTGGAAGACCACCTCTGCAGGCTGAGAGGGTGCTAAGTCCTAAAGCCTTTTCTATCAACTGCTGCTGAGGCCAGCATTGTGAAAGAGGAATTTCTTCCCTGATTGACTGTGCTTCCCTATACCCTGTTTCTTCTAGATATTCACAGTGCAATGGTGTGCGTTGTTGCAACAAACAAACAAACAAATAAATAAATAGAAGGGTGTTGCTCCAGATTTCATTTTATTTACTCAATTTATCTTCTGCTTGAGGGATGCCTGAAAGTGGGATTTCAGTCTCCAGTGCATAACTGTGACAAACAGTTGTGAAATTCTAACTCTAAGTTATTTGAAGTGAGAAATATTGAGCTTCACCAAATCATTTTATCATTTTCATTTCGTAATTTGTAATTATAGTAGTTGTCAGTGAAAGCAGAATATTAGAAAAATGTTATGATAGATATTAGTCTAATGACTCAGACTAGCAAAAAAAAGTTTCATGTTGCAGCTTTTCAAAAATCTATTTTCTTCTCTAACAGAAAAGTGTTCAGATTTTGTGACTATTTACAAAGGTAATTTATTTTCAGGTGTTAAATTTAAATTCAGAATGTGAATAAATGCCTCTTCTATAACCCCTTTTCTTTTATCTGGCTATTGAAATTAAAACTCCATCATGGCTAACTTCTTTTTTTAATTCAGAGAAACAGAAATTAAAAAACAATTGTAGATGAAGGAAAAATGATTTAATCTGTGCTTAAGACTATGTTATGCTAAAGACATATTTTAATACATAATTTTTAAACCATTAAAGTTCATTTTGAAAGACATATTGAATTCACCATTGAAATTAAGAAATAATTGTTATACAAAACTGAGATGTATTTTGTTTCAACATTTTGATGTATAAAAAACATTAAGAACATTATTATATGAATTTGGTGCAAATTTGTAGGTGATTCCATCAAAGCAGATTGAGTTTTCCCCTAAAAAAGTGAATAGCAAGAAAAAATTGAGCTTGACATCCTAACCATCATATTATTTTTATTTGGCTAAGGTACAGTCCTCTCTATTAAGAAATTGTTACACAATAAATAATGGATAGTAGTAACTTAGAAATCTGCCAAACTAATAATACTAATGTGGAATTAACCTGTTGCGTATTTTTCCATCTATATGGTTACATTTGCTCAGTAGGAGAAATGCATACATAAAAGTATTATCAAGTAATGGTTTTGGTGGTTTCACTGTTTTTTTTCCGAGCTCTTAAAAAAGGATGCCATGCTGATTTGTTTTTCCAAACAGGTAAGATTATGTAAATATAATTATGAAGACAATTATGAACACATATATGCTGTACATATAGCATAGCTGATACGTACAAAATATTCTCTATCGTTTTTATTTATTTATCTTATTTTATCATTTATCTTCATATTTACCAGAAGAGCATATTACATTCTCTGATTTCTTCAGTGGCTTATCGAGAAACCCGTATGTCTCTTGTTGTTTTCCAGGGCTTAGTTATTGAACGGCTCGGACGCAGGCCTCTTCTCATTGGGGGTTTTGGGTTGATGATTGTCTTCTTTGCAGTTCTTACTGTGTCTCTCACTTTGCAGGTACGGCTCCTATATATTTTTTGCTCTCTTTTTTCTGTTTTAAACAGGTTTCTTACATAAACATTTTTAATCGTTTTGATGTAAGGACTTAAGGTCTGTCTTTCGCTTGGCTATAAATTTGGTGGTTTCAAAATGCTGTGATCAGCTGTACCAGCTTTTGCATCAATTCGTATAATTCATTTCATGGCATAACATGAACTGTTATGAAGACAATTTTACCCATAGTTGGGAAATGTTATGTCCCATTTTATTTTTACCTTGTAAAGAAGTCTTCTCAAGTTTACTTTCATACTGCATATTTTGACCTTATTCTTCTGCTTGGATGGTTTTTTGTTCTTTTTGTTTTTTTGTTTTTTTTCCAATTGTGAAAAGTTTCTACATTGAATCTTTTTATCAAGTTACATTTCTGATATTTTCATTGAATACATGAAGACCTAAGAGCAGATGTTCTGCTAAGGCTAAGTTTTCAGATGTTATTAGAAGTCATGTCCCTAAATATTTCAAATGGTCAAAGGAGGATAGATAAACCAATCTAAAGTCATTTTCCATTGTTTATCTTCAATTTTCATTGTCATGCTGTTTCCCTCAGTTTTTGAGTGCTTTTGGGATGTAGAAGTGACAGTCTGGAACAGTATGTTTTTGAGTGGTCTTCTGTCAAGCTGTTCCTTGCCTGATGTTGTTTCTGTGTCTTGACATTAATCCGACTTTCAAATGTTACTTCTTGGTTAAGAAAAGCAGATGCATGCAGCAACATGATAGAGTTTTATTTGACTTATATGTATGTGTAGCACAAGAAAGCTTTACTTCACATACATGTCATGACAGTAAGACTGCTCTCCAGAAGAGAGCTTTTATTGCAAGGTTTGTAAGTTGACTAAGAATTGCTAAATGGTTTAAAACACCGTTTGATGGATGAGGACATTCAGCTATTGGAGATCCCTGAAGTGTGAGTTCTATTTCACTTCTTTTCAGAAATGTCTTGGTCTGCTATAGATTAGAGATTGGATATTGCTCTGAACAAAGGACCTAGGGTTGATCTCAGGGCAGCTTATATCTCCTCTGTATTTGCACCTTCACTTTCTCAGTGCCCTAAGGGACCTTGGTTGTGAGTTCAGATGGGAACTCCAGAATGTCTAATTTTGGCAGATCTACAAATCACTTGCTCTATATTAATGCCCAGGAAGCTGTAATCATGTTTTGTGCATAAAGGAATAAGCCAGACTGTAAGAGAAAGCTGTCAGAAAATTAAAGTCATTATTTAATACTGAAATAAATAATAACCTATTTTAGCAAATGTATTTTACACTGACTCTCAGGATGATACTATAGCGATATGTAACTTAATCAACTTTGAAAAAAAAACGTAAAATTATAATAAAAGGAGTATTCACATTTGCTGATGGAAAAAGAAATTGATAGATAAAGGAATGGGAATCTGTGAATTTCTCCTAACATAATAGTATTCTTACCAAGCATTAATGGAGATGGTTAAAAACAGTGTCCTGAAATCTCACTAGAAATCATGTACAGTGTTTCCAGTTGCCATCGTTTGGAGATCTGAATCAAGAAATATATATTTTGTAGTAAAATTAACACAGATTGCCTTGTGAGGAAAATAGATGATTTCATTTACAAGTCTGTTAAGGAACCATTTATATCTTGTTTTCTTGTCCCAGTAGCTGCTGCTTGCACACATGACCCTGCTTGTTGTCAAAAAAAGGTTATGACTAAAAATGCCTTGAGTGTGTTTTTGGTGTCTTTGTGCAGGCTCAGATAGTGCTGTCCTACTCAAAGGCAGCCTGTCATATCTAGACATCTGCCCAGTCTTTGTCTGGAGAAGCTCTGTGCATCATCACTGCTGCTCTTTTACACATCCAAAATATGTTAGGAGAATAGAAGTGCAGAATCTGTGTAGCAGAAGGAAAAACTCTTTTCTGGATTGGCTTGAGCTTTAGAATAAGAAGTAGAACTTAGAGTTGTGACTTCAGTGGTGCAGGAGATAGGCTAGTATTTCTCTATGGGATACAACAGAAAGCAAGACCTTCAATACAAATAATCTAATAAAATTCTACAGAAATGCTGTGATTTTCTAAAATAGTCCTAGACTAAATTCTGAAATAGGGAAGCATTCTGGAAAACACTATTAATTGTTTTGTTTTGTTTCAATGTTGATGATAAGTACAATGCACTTAATATTAATGTCTTTTTTTCTACCAGAATAATGTGTCTTGGCTTCCTTACCTCAGTATATTTTGCATTCTTGCAATTATTGCATCGTTCTGCATTGGACCAGGTATGTGCGTGTTCTTCTGTGTTAATCTGTATATCAAAGCCCAGGTATTCTTGCACTGAAAATAGTTGCTGATATTTTTTGTAATTTTAATGAAGTTGCTGTAATATTTTGGATCCTCATTTGGAAAAACTGAGGAAAAGTTATGCTACATTAGAAGAAAATATGGGAAATACTGGAATATTTCTGGGAAAACAGTTTGTTATTAATCTCTCTGTTTATTCCTCTGCATATGATAGTTGGTTGGGAAAGGGAAGATGCCTAACAGGCTTAACTAGGAACACATTTGAGAAGAGTCTTCTTGATCATTAATGCTCCCACTGTAGGGTCATAGTAAGGCTTCCTCCTTCCTTACCTCCAACTCTTCTCATAAGGCAAAGAGCACAAGCATTCTTGCAATCGCCTTTTCCTACTCTATTAAAATCTCAGGTTCAACTAGACCTCTTGTATAACTGGTGTGTGATTTTTAGACTGAGAACTTTTTAAAAAGAAGAATTCTGTAGAACAGAGCTGCTCTTGCTGTTTCATTGGAAATCAACTATTGACTTCAAATTTCTTGGGTACTTCCCTTTCAGTGTTTTAAGTAGCTTAAATAAATTAAGTGCAGCTACTTGAAGCATCTTCTTTTGTTCCTCCTAGAAAACTCCGTTGAAACAAATTGCAATTTGTTCCATACTACAAACCAATTTTTAGAACTTGCACATCAAGACATTCTTATGTGTTCTATTTTCAGCATAGTAAAATTTTCTATATTTCTCCATAATAATTGAAATACAAATGAACTGGATGTATCATTTTTAATTTGTGAACTACTCAAGGTAATATAACACTTATTTTAAAAAGAACATGCTCTTGCAGACATAAGATTGTCACTTTATGTGAGGGAAAAGAGAGGAACTCTGTGTAATTGCCTACGTTTACATTTCTTTAAATACACAGAATGAAATACACTGAACATCTTAAGATCAGAATTGTTCTATAGCAGAAATGTTTCTCAGTGTTTTCCTCAGCAAGTCAAGTGTTTAAACATGACAGTGTGGTTAAAAGAGTAATCTTCTCAGTAAGATATATATACAAGGATGAAAACATCATTCTGAGATTCCAGTATAAGAAAGTTTCAAGTCCAAGGGATTTCCACAGTTTTTCCAGTTTCAAGTATGTCATGCTGCAGCTGGTCATGCAGCTACAGATTACTGTCATACACCCTCACTGCCCAGGTAGTACTCATCAGTGACCAGCTTAGCTGCCTGTACTTATTTCTGTCCCAGTGCATAACAGAGTGCAATTTTTATTTTTTTTTAATTAATTAACCCACATACAGTTACACAACATGTTTCTATTTCCATAAAGAAAAAAAGGACATCACATCATTATTCCACAATAGAACAAAGAAAGCAATGAACTGCCTGGATTAAATCTTATCTATCTTAAAGATTCTGTTAGGTCAGTAAAGGCTGGCTTATAGAAAGGAGAATATCATTACTCACAAGTTATGTACTATTTAATTGATCTACGAGGACAACGAAATGAACTTACGCTTTTGGGTAAAAAAGGTAAGATTCAGTCCAGCCAGGTTTCAAAAACTTCAACATTTGTCATTTGTGATGAACTGTAATGCTGCTTTGAAACATTTTGGCAGTGTGCCTAACGAGTTTGCAGGATCTCTTTTGGGGATTTTACTTTCAAACTTTGTAAGATTTAAATAAGCATTGAATCATGCATGTCTTATTTATGAACTAAAACTATTCTTACTGGTTTCAGTGGAACAAATTCTGGGTAAGCAAAAATGACTTGTGAGTAAGGATTCTGAGTCTTCAGTTAATACACAATGATTTTTTTTCAGTTTTGAGTCATCCTGAGATATAGTTTTTAAGATTTTCATAATCTTCCATAAATTTGTTCAATCTTTAGCTAAAAGTGTGCAAGATTTTATCATCCACACTAACTTTTGGCAAAGAAATCTGCTTGTCTATTGCCTGCCAGATACATCACCACATTCTTTGTTAGGCTTTATGTGATGCCCTCTAGATTTTCCATTGGAAGGAATGGAACACACGGCCTGCTTTCTTCCTCTTCAGGTTTTTGTGGTCTGGTAGACTTTTAATCTTTTCCAGATTGAATAGCTATTTCTTACTCTTTCCTCTCAATGATATTTTAAGACAACACCTTCGCAAGAAAATTTAAAATGAAATATCTGATATTCTTCTGTAGTAGTTTGGTATGTTTAATGAAACAAGACTAAGACTCAGAAATAAAATTTCCACCTTTTTGCTCATTAAGTTTTTTTCACCCCAGAAAATTAACATATTTTTATTTATTAAGTTGCAAATTTTTAATATTTTAACCTTTTGTAGAAGGCTGAGCATCCTTTGTTTGTATTGGTAAAACAGGTAATATTATCATGGTATTGTTCATGCTTAGTATCTTATGAAATCCATCTGTAGTTATTTAGGGATTTCAGCGTTCTTCAGATTAACTCCCATATGGTTTGTAACGATTCTGCAGATACAGATCCTCATCTGAATCTGCAGAAGGGTGAATTCTTTTTACAGTCGAGTTATTGGTAGTTGGAAGGATTATTACATCTGAAAAAAGTAAATAATGTGGAGAACTGAGCTCAGAAAACACTCCTAGAACTTTCTAGATAATAAAATTGCCTTTCAAATACAGTATTTTCTCTCTTGTTAGAACGTCTGATACTTGCTTAATAGCTTATATATTGTGTGGTCTCCTACTTTCAGAATAGCATATGGATGAGTACCATCTGCTCCTTACAGCTAGAATCAGCTGTTACTATAAACTGCATTTTTTATTTGTTTCAATTTTCTGTACTCAAGTTTTCAGCTTACAGATGTTTTCTAGGCATATTGCTTAGCAGTGAAACAATAATGCTAACAGCAGGTACGTTCAGGCACATGAGAGATTTGGTATTTCATCATTTTTATCAGAAGATGATTAACAGAAGGCAATCTTTCATGTATTTACTCAAAAATTAAAGGGGTTCTTGTGTTCAAAATAGACTATCTATGATCTGAAAGAGAAAAAAAAAACTCTTCAAAAGTTGCTTAGTTCTATAAATTAGGGAACTGTGCTTTTTCAGACATTTGGTTAATTATACACAAGTGAAGGCACTTGATTAAAGAGAAGAATATTGCTTTCCAGTATTATTTTTGGTTTTGTGGACAAAATTGGTAAATAGTTTTATAGTTTTCACCTCAAAATGTGGAAGCTTCATGGAAATGTTTTTCTTGGCCATGCATCTGACCTGCCAGAAATATATGTTTCGTTTAAGGAAGTGTCATCCAATAAAGAGTAAACAGAGAGGGACTGATCATAGGATCATAGAATCCTTAGAGTTGGAAGGGACCTCTGATGGCCACCTAATCCAGCTCCTCTACAATGAACAGGGACACCATAGCTAGATCAGATTGTCCAGGGCCTGATACAGCCTCACCTTGAAAGTCTCCAGCGATGGGGCATCAACCACATTGCTAGGCAACCTGCTCCAGTGCCTGACCACCTTCACTGTAACAGATTTTTTCCTTATATCCAACCTAAATCTATGAATCCTAAGTCAATAACAAGTAAAAACAAATTAAAAAAATTAAAAACATAATTCAAAGAAATTTAATCAGAGTATGTATTCAAAGCATTCATGCCTTTGTTCAGGTTCAGTGTCATGAACAAATGCACTGATTAGAGATATTTTGACTGAGTAAATAATATGCAACTTGTTGGAAATTTAGTTTGTGATAGATTGGCTTAGGTATGCGCAAAGCATCTTCCTTCTTTGACCTTGTGTTCGAGTGATTAAGGAAATGAAAACACTAAAACCAGTTATCCTTGTGTTCTCAATTAACAGCTGCATCTTCACAGATACAGAATTAACATGTTGAACTATGCCTGCAGAATCTGTGTAACTTTCAGAAGAACCACACTAAAATCTGACTCAAACAGGAGAAGAGTAGGTTCTTCTTATTTGTATCTGTTTTGGTGAATTCCCAATCCACCCACTGTGCCGTTGCAACAGTTGTTGTGCAAGAAAATGATTTTTTATTTTGCTGGGTGAATTGAAAAATATGTATATGGTTGTGCAGGCAGGGGGAATTTGAGGTAATTTTCTATAATGCTAAAAATTGAGCCCTTTTACCTGCTAGTCAAGTAGTTAAAAAAAAAAAGTCAAGAAACCCTACAAAACAACCCCCAAAAAACAACAACAAATGGAGTGTCCCAAGATACGTCCAATTCAGAGACAGTTTCCTGCACAGGTGTAGCACCACCTGTCAGGGAGGTTGTCAGGTATGCTGGGGTAAGGATGTTTCACTGCTTGTTTTTGATGCTGTTTCAGTATGTATAAAATGCTTAAATATTCATTCTCTGAAGCAGAGAATGACTCTCGTGCCATGTGTCAGGAGATTCACCCCAGATGGTGGGACATGTGGTGAAAAAGAAAACCAACAGATTAATTGAGGGGTTACAGCAATGCTGGCGTGGACTTCCAGGCAACTTTCCCAATAGAAATAAGCATAACAAACTATAAGAACTTTGGCGTTAAGCATTTCTATGCACCTTTGTATGAAGAGATTTATTAATTTTTTTTTTCTTTACAATGCAATTTTAAGTGTGGCATCCTCCTTTCCAGTTTTGAGAAATGGAGGAGGCAATGCTGCACTGAGATGTTGGTCTTAAGACCCATCTTTAAAAACTAAAGAGAAGAGTGGGAGGTGGATTGTTTAAAAATATTGCTAGCTCTGATGCAATCCTTCCTTTATAACATTCTTTCAGAAACTGAAGCAGTATCGGCTCTTTCATATCAAACCTTTGCAAATTCAGTGATACTGGAGGCATAGTAAACTGAACCACTGGATTTATTTTAACCTTTGGTAATAGGTTAAAATAGGTAATAAATAACCCAAGGCAGTATTGTTGCAGTAAGACCTGTAAAGAGGTGTTTGTGTTGTTCTTCCTTTGACATCCAGCTCACGGGGAAGTTAGCCACCTGT